AAAACAAACAAACAAACAAACAAGCAAGCAACAACCAAACTCACTGCCGTCGAGTTGGTTTGTACTCGTAGTGAACCTATAGAACAAACTAGAACTGCCCTGTGGGTCCCCGACAGCATAGAGCCTGTCTTTCTCCCAAGGAGCACCTGGTAAATTCAAACCGCTAACCACATGGTTAGCATCGCAATGGGTAACCCACCACATGTGCCACCAGGGCTCTTTTAATTTTTTATTTTAACTGAAGAAAAATGGGTGCCCTTTAAAGATTTTAATATTAGGAAACAAATAGAAGCCAGAGGAGCCAATCATGACTTTAAGGTAGATGTCTAATGATTTTCTATCAAAACTAATAAAATTGCCCTTGCTTGATGAGGAATAAGGAGTGTTGTCTCGGTGGAGTAGCCTCGAGCAAGGCTTCTCAGTTTTTCTGCTAAGCTTTGGCTAGCTAACTTCCTCAAAACACGCTCCTATTGAGCAGACTTATCAGTCAGTCTTTGGCACTCCAGAAAGTTAACCACCAAAATGCCTGGAGCATCTCCGGAAATTGTCACCATCAACTTGGCTCTGCACCGTCCACTTTTGCTTTAACGGAACTACGACCTCTCAGTAACCCGTGCCTGGATCATACTAGCGTCATACTAGTGAAGCTGTTCTATCTCTTGTTACAGTTCTTCCCAGAAACACTTCAGGACCTTGATCCTACTTGTTTAAACTTTCCATCGAAAGCTCCACTTTTGTCTGCACAACAGCTTTAAACACCATTGAGCAGAAAGTTTGCTCAGCTTAATTTTCCGGTTACAATGTGTAAGCTCTGAGCGCTATGATGTTGGCTATTGTTTCTGCCGTTATTCATCGATCCTCTTCAATTAGGGCACAAACAAGATCGCTTCCTTGTGAACGGCTACGACTGGCCTAACACGGGCAGCTCCATCTTCAACATCAGCAGAGTTCACCTTCAACGTTGCCTTGTCCCTTCTCGAGTAATCCATTTGTAAACTGCTGGTTTCTTTGGGGACATTGTCCCCATTAGTTTTTTTTTTTGTAAAGCATCCATAACTTCATCCATGCTTCTACCCAAACTTCACCACAAATTTGCTGTTTGCTCTGGCAAACAAGCTACTGTTAGAGGCATTTATATCCTTATTGCCTCAAACTACACCTGTTCAGACATTGTAACAACTTGGTGTGTTTATTTTGGCACAGAATTTTTTACTATATGAAGGTTTTTTCATAAAACACATTTTTCTTAAACTTGTGTTTTCTTGAACTTGTGGTCTCCTGAGAAAGGATTCCTCAGGTTCCCTGAGGAATCGGTTAAACAGCTCTGTTAGTATGTTGTCTGATGACTGGTACCTAAGAGTCTTGCTCCCGAGACGCCTTCTGCACCAGTATGCTATTCAGACTTACCAACCCCCAAGCAAACAAATCCACTGTCATCAAGTCCGTTCTGACGTACAGCGACCCTGGCTTTCTGAGGCGGTGGGAGCAGAAAGCCTCACCTCTTGTGGAGTGGCTGGTTTCAAACTGTTGACCTTTTTGTTAGCAATTCACCTAGGACCCCAGTGTACCACTAAGACTTACAGAGGGGTTTAATCTATTCTCCAAAGCCCAGGCCTGAGAAAGACAGGGAA